TCGTAGTCCCGCAAAACCTGGGACAAAGTGTGCAAAAGACCGAATACTCGCGTCGTGGAGCCACGCAAAAGCCCGCGGTGCATTTGCAGGCCAAACTTGACAACTGCAGGATGAAATTGGCCACCAAAAACTCTGCGGAGTTCAAACACCATTAATGAAACGACGAGCGAGGGAATTTATATTTTTAAAAATGGGTGGTGATGTATACAATAATTTACAAAAACTTCGATTAGCAATTCATCAGATGATCAGCAACACAGGAAAACAATCGGCAAAAACGTTTTTCTCAGTATGTTTTGAATGAAAATAGCGACTCAACCCTGAATGTCAGCACATTACACTGTTAATTTTCACCAAAATACTATAGAACCAATTTTATAATTTTTACTTCAATCACTTCTGTCTCAAGTTGGAAAATAAAATTGGCCATCCAAAGTTTCTTGCCTTGAACAGTTCTGGTCTCAAAATTTTACATGCATCGAAATTGTCCACGTCTCAAATTGCCCCTGTCTAAAAAATATTTCTCTCACAAATTGTCCATGAACTGTATCAAAATGTTTGTTTCAAATCATACTGTGCACATTTCAAAATGTTTCTGCCTGTAATTGTTCAGGTCTAAAAATGCTTCTGTCTCAGATTGTCTGTGTCTCAAAATGTTTCTTTAAAAAATATTCGCATTAAAATAAACACATCCATTTTTCCAAAAGAAAAGAAAAAACCACGTTGAAGACGCTTGAAAACAAACAAAAGAAATCCTCTACTTACGGAAGATGGGCAAAGATTTCGTCCTCTGGACAAGGAGAAGGAAGATGAGGCAAGGCAAGAGGAGCAGCGAGTGATGTTGGCTTTGTTTTCACGTCTGCTGGAGACGCTTCTTTAACCTTAGGTTTCCCTCGGGATAATACACCAGTAGTAGTAGTTTTCGTTTCTGAATTTGAAACTGATGCAGAAGCAGCAGCGGGAGAAGACTTGTTTTCCGTCTTTGCTTTTGTCGAGGGTTTCTCTGCAGGCTTCGACAGCTCTTTCGCTGCTCGTTGTGCTTCCTATTTTTTTTTAAAATAATTAATGAATTAGCAAATAATCTGAAGTGACACATTATTTTCTCAATCCTCATCACGATATCAGTCTAAGGAATCAAACAAATTGTTTTTAATCACTCAGTTAAGATTAACGAGAAAAAAAATTCGTTTCTTCTTTTGGAACTGATACAGAAGCAGCAGGAGAAGAAGACTTATTTTCCAACTTCGCTTTTGTAGAGGTTTTATTTGACTGCTCTTTCGCTTCCTAGAAACATATTTAAATAAAAATAATAATTAATTTGCATTCTGGAGTGCCGCAATTTTTTTCCGTTATCATTCATCATTGCAGTCTAAGGGATCAACCGAATTTAGGAAATTACTCAGTTACAAACTTACGAATAATCAGAAAAAATCTTGATGATGAAAAATTGTCGCTTCTGAATTCGGAATTCTGGTGGACGGAGCAGGAAAAAACTTATTTTCCTACTTTGGTTTTTTAGGAAATTACTCAGTTACAAACTTACGAATAATCAGAAAAAATCTTGATGATGAAAAATTGTCGCTTCTGAATTCGGAATTCTGGTGGACGGAGCAGGAAAAAACTTATTTTCCTACTTTGGTTTTGTAGACTGCTCTTCACTGTTCATTGCACTTCCTAGAGAAATATTTAAAATAAATAAATAATTGGCAATGTACAATGAAAAACTTTTTGCTGTGTTCTCAACATCCTTGCAGTTTAAGGGATCAATCAAATTTTTGCAGTCACTCAGTTAGGATCAATTACAAACAAACAATTTTTTTTTCGCTCTTAATTGACAATTTTCACAAGTCGAAGTCTGATGAACAGAAAATATATTCATTGAATGCCTTAAACAGTTTTTTTTTGCATGTGACATTTTTAAGTAAAACTCTAGTGAAAATTATGAATGAAACTCACTTGAATAGCTCTGCGCTCTTTTCTCAGATCAGCCTTCGATTTCTCGGCCCCGGGTTCTTTTCCATCAGAAGTTCCATCTTTGACAGGTTTTCCTTGTGCTTTCTGACCGCCTTGCTTTTGCTTTTCTTCCTTCTTCCGAACGTCCTTTTTTGCAGAGTCTCTGTCAATTTTCTCGTCAACATTCGCCTTTTTCGCTTCTTTCTGTTTCAAAGCTGCGGGCTTTTCAGAAGAAGGTGATGCACTCGAAAAAAGTCCGCCTTCACTTAGGGGCGTTCGGAAGAACCGTAGACGGTTTTCGCGAAAGTCGAAGCGTTCGACGAGAAGTTACAGCCTGTAAGATTTTTCGGAAAAAGAGGTCCGATTTCTATTATATGGGGAGTCTATTTCTAGACACTGGGAGGGTTTCTGGGGAAGAATCACTCGATTTTCACTCATTCAAAACCGCAGAGCGGATTATTTTTCAGGGCCATCTGGAACAAAAAAAAATGGAGATGTCAAATTGTGTGTAAACAAGAGAATAACATTTTTTCTAGCAATGAAAATTGAACAAGCGTCCAAATGAGAGGTTATAAATAATACAAAGTATCACAATCCTCAGGTGCTTTTCCATACGTCGTTGATGCATGAAACGAGGCCCTGTGCGCATACTGAAACAAAATAAGCATGAGAACATCGTGAAAATCGAATAATTTGGCCCAGGAAAAAAATTCAATCTTCATCGTCATTTTGACTGATTTTCGGAACCAAATTGAAATGGACGTCGTTGAAAATTTTTTTGCTGTAGTGTTACGAAAATTGTTCAATTCAATTGATTACTTTTCTAACGATTTCAAGGCGAAAGATTCCCCAACATCCGGAAATTGAACGAATTCTATAAAAAAATTATGCTCCAAAGATTAACATCACCAAAATAAAGAAAGATCATTCAAAACTCATCGTAACGAAAACTAAAACCAACAATTTAAAATAACCATAAAAAAATTAAAAAAAGTTAGATCCTCAGGCGGAAATGGGTACATTACGCATTAAAATAAAAAGAGACGCAGAATACTCAACTCTGAATCAAAATTTCGAGTCAAACACGATTGAAAAGTTACTAACCTGAAGAGTAGCTGGTACTCGAATGGGTCCAGTCCAATTATAGTAAACATGACACAAGGCATACGTGAAGAATTTGACTTCTTCATCCTTCAGTGTCGTATCGTCTCTCAACACGAATACGTGGATTGGAGACAATGTTCCCTACACAATAGTGAAAAAGAGTGTCACACTCGATAAAATGCAGAAAATCGTGCAATTTCAGCATCAGTAAATTATCACTGCACCCGAACTTTCAATTCGCAATAAATCATCGACATGAATGCAGTTTAACAACACTATAAATAAGTATCGTATTTGACATCAGCGACTCAATCCGTTTTCTCAGAATGAATATCAAGTTCGAAGCACAAAAATTCCTACCTTAAAAAAATCCAGCCATTTAAAAAGGAAATTTCTATCTATTTTAATTTTTTTTTGCCAATTTTTACTCGAAGAGCACGCGATACATTTTATAATGAATTAAACTCTGTTTTTATCGACGAGATAAATATTCAAGTTCCAGAAAATAAGCTTCTTTAGTCCGATGACTTCTCTCAAGTCCTTCCTGAACAAACACATCGCTCAAATTGAAGTCATTAAAATATTGGTGCAAACGAAAAACTAACCACTTTCAAGTTTTGTGGAGCGAGGAAAAAGTTCCTCCAACCCTCCATAACGGCTCCTTGTTCCACAACAGTTCCTTGGGGTAGATTTGAATAATTCCGCTGCAAAATATAAATGATTCAACTAATCATACACAATAATCCTTCATACAAAGGGTTTCCATGCATACAGGTTTTCTCTGGCCGGGTTCCTTCACGACGAATCGAGGTTTGATGCGCTTGCAAACACACATGAAACACAGTCCAATGTTTCGTCTTCCATCGCCTTTCAGCACAGCATTCATCCCGTCAATTTCAACCACTTGCAGGGTATCGAATCGTGCAAAACTCGTGCCATCTCTGTGCACCACGACGTGCTTCGGCAAACCGTTGTTTTTCTTGAAATCAGAAGAAAAAATAATTCAACTATAGTATTCATCACTTTGAAGGAATACTTAATAATTATTGGCGATGCCCGATGCAACAGAATTTTGTCATAACGATGAATAAACGATTTTAACGAATTCCCCTTTTTTCCCTATCCAATAGGTGCAATGTTATTCGAGTTAAAATTCGTTATAAGGGAGCCATTCAATGAACCCCATAATTTCGTTGCAAAGAAATTTCATTGAATTTCGAAAAAAAGTTTAAAAAAAATTGCTTCCCAAGTTTCTCAACCAGAATTCTTCTACTGTATAACGTTATCATGAAATCAAAAAGATGACTTGCAGCAAATTATTTTTCGTTCGATGAGGAATTTCTTAAATATCAATTTTGGCTTTCGCATCTTCTCACTAAAAAAATTGACACTTCAAGAGAAAATTTCACATTCCTCGTCATAAACACGAACATTTCCAACACTGAAAATGAAATGCCACATTTGTCATTGAACTTTATCGTCTGATCTCGAACACGGGAAATTGTATCCTTATTTCAACTATAGGGTGATCAAAAATCAAGAGCTCAGGGCAAGAATTAATTAAATGTCACCCCGAAACAATTTACAGCATCCATTCATTTCAACAAGACAATCAAGAATATTGTCAAAACTCATACACTTGAACAAGAAAACTCACCACAGCCCAAGCAGCCAAAGCATTTTTCATATGAACATGCAAATTCTCCCACAATTCCATGCCCTGGTCGAGGACTTCCAGAGACGTTCGGAACTCAGACGCATTTTTGTTCATGGAAGCAACGAAAGCCAATATTGAAACTCGTTTACCAATCAAATGACACGCGTCCATGCCAATAAACATGATTCCTTCCTCGGTGAAAGCCACATTCTGAAATAAAATTAGAGAAAATTCATTGAAAACAAACTGCAGAATTCTGATTAGATATTCCAGAACTTCAATTCGTATTCGTAGATGTCACTCCAATAATATCACTTGAATGTTCGACTTACATTTCAAGATACTGTACCATAAAACTAGAAACACCATTATTCCTCCAATTGCCACAAAGGAAGTCAGTTTTGGTGGATTTTTATAGTATAAGAAATATTATTGAAAAGGAGCTCTTCTACTAAAGCAAAAACCATAGTAATGAGTAAAAATTTTACAACAATTGAACCGTGATAACTTGAACTCAAGTACTGTATCTCAATATGTCAAATATTTTTTTCAAATCCCTGTCTTCATTCCCTTAGTAATAATGTATCCAAAACCTCCCAAACTCAAAGGCTTTCCTCCTCAAGCCTCCAAAACTTCTGGAGCCCTTATGGTTCTTATTTTTTAGCAGTAACATTTTAATTCGCTGTATTTTGAATTGAAGTGAAAGACACATTAGGCAAATGAGCCCTTGCCTCCAAGTTTAGCATCCTGTCAACTCATCAAGAAGCAATTTGAGACCCGGAGCATCACCAATTATAATTTTCTGTAATTCCTCTTTCTTCGTCCTCCCCCAACAAGAAATGTTTATTTCCATCACTAAAAACCTCCACAAGTAGAATTTTTGGCATTTGACTTGAAATTCTGCTTCAACTGTCAATTCCAAAAATATAAATATGTCTCAGAGCCCGGGAGCTCTGTGACACAAAATGGCCGCTGTGTCCCCGTGTCGCAAAAAGCCCATGATTAATCTCAAAAGTAAAGTACAAATTTACGAAATACAGCAAAAATGTCAGAATGAAAAAATTAAAAATAACCTGAGGTATCCTGATTTCCCATGGCCATCCACCAATTTTCGCCACAATCTGCGTGAGAACCTTCAGAGCTAATTTTCGAGTGGTACCGTCCCTCAATATAGTACCCGCTACAATGAATTGTGACGGGATTTTGTACTCGAACCGCAACAACGTCTTCACAGAAGTGTAAATATCCTCCCTCCGAGGATTCATCACCACCACGATCAATTGGAGGCTTCGATCCTTGTCTTCATTGTACTAAAATGAAAGAAAATCCTCAATTTCTTCCAAGAAAAAAAAGTACGATTCCCAATTATTCCTTCGCGATCAAAAAAGGGTTCACAATATCTTAGACCGACTCAAACTACGACAATTCAAAAACTAAGGAGAGTAGAAATAATATAATTTGGGCTTTTAAAGCGATTTCTACACCCACCAATAACGTTCGTCGTAAGTTTGAAATGTCCAGGAAAAAATTGCCACAAAAAAAAAGAAACCTCCACCCTCTCCTATTTATAGAAGATTAATTTTTCTAAAATTCGCACAAAATCGTTTGAAACATTCCGTTGCATGGGGTAAACTCACGTAAAACTTCAGCGCACTTCTGATCAAAGTCAAATAATCCCGCGTTTGCGGGGAGTTCGATGTGATCGTTTTCAGCACAGGCATTTCTACGATCATCCCTGAATTATCAGCACACGACTTCAATTGCGCGACGAAATTCTCAACCAATTTCGCATTTCTTTGCGGACAAACCACCAACCATCGCAACAAGGGCACCTTTCGAAAGAATAAAAGTGATCGGTGAGAAAATCAAGCGAATTCCAAATGCGAGGATTTACAATGAACGATTCAAAACACGAAAGTTAAAATAAATGAAACATTTTTCCGCCATTTGAACATAGTTTACTTGAAAACACATTTGAAAGAATATTTTATGATGAAAAGTAGTGTATTTCTGTGAAAATTTTCTCGTCATGAAAATAAATGGAAAACTTTTCAAGAGAAAATTGTCTTCCAATTGTTTCGGAGGAATTGTACACCTGAAGATCAGAATTTTAAACATTACTTTTATTCGATCTTCGCAGAAAAATTTAAATCCTTTAACTGACTTGAAAGCACAACTCGCACGATCGAAAATAGGTCAAGAATCGATGGATTCTCCAAATCGGTTTAAAAGTTCTAAGAAACAAATCACATTCATCCTAGATAAACATGTCACTTCTTGTCGTTTTTTTGTTGCTGAATTTTAGGTGGAAAGAACGAATTCAAAATAGTTTTGAACACGTTGAAGTTGAAAACTGCTAAGTTTTGAAGTTAAAAACTGCTTCAAGACAGAAAATCCAATTGGAAAGATTTTCCGCAATAATAAAGAACGCCACATATAACACATCCAGTACTAATTTGAACAAGACAAAAATTTATGAAATTGAATTAAAGTTGACTTTGCGAAACATCTAGGTAGGCTAGAAAAGCGACTGTCGGCGACATCTACTCGCACCAAAAGACCTAGTCAATCCCAAAAATTTCCCCATTGGGGTCTCGTATTTTTATTTATTTTTGGTTCCCGGCAGAATAAATTCAGGTTAAATTGATTCGAGATAAATTAAAACTCACGGTGTGTGCAAATCTGCCATTTTTGAGCAACATGGTCCAATCGTCAGGGGCAGCACGTTCCTCTTCCTTGAAGCCCAAGGTCACCTTTGGCAATTTTCGACACGGAAACGAACACAGTTCATCTGATATCTCAAGGCCCCAAGAGGACAAAAACTTCTTCACCTTCTCGTCACCTGTCATCAAAAGAAAACGATAAGCTTCGAATAAATTCGGAGATTGTAATACGCAGAAATCGGTGATTCAGGCAAACCATTCATTCTGCGAATTAATTCTTGGATGGAATCGAATTTATCATCCGGGGTCATCCCAGAACCCTTGAACATTGACGAAGTAATCCGAGTCGTGGAGAGGTAGCAGAATTCTGGGACCAGAAGAACCGTTCTGTCCTATAAAGAAAAGCATAAAATGTAAAACATATTCTTCTTGATTTAATATTACACCAAAATGCAAATTTAGACATTGATGTTGATCAATTGTTTCCTTTAAATTATTTTTTTCATAAACTTGGTCCAAAATTTCCTTTTAGAGCCAAGTATAATGCACACTTAAACTTCTTCTTCGTCTTGAATTAGAAGAAAAACAGTTCTCGCGGAAATCACACGACCTGACCCAACTTTCGCTGTCTCAATTACTCTTCACGGGAAGCTTAAAGTTTCCAACTCGCATCAAAGCCGATAGCTTCCATAAAGAAAAACAAAGGTCATTGATCTCACACTCAACTCGTCTCTAGAAATCCCCCCCACAAAAATGGGAACTTGAATTACAGTACTTACGCATTTCATGGATTCGCACACAAGCAGAGGTTGGTCAGGAACGGTTACAGTCAGACCATACTTTTTTCTGAAGTAATCCTCAAACGTGATCGACTGCCCAGACTGCAAACTGAACGTGCTCTTTGGATTCTGAGTGAAATCAACGTCAACTATTCTGTACCGAAGGAGGACGTGCTTTGTAAACAGGATCGAGCCGATCAGGGCTTCCTTGATTTTCAACGAGCGAGTTGAGGGTGAAACAGAGTCATGCACTCGTCCCCTAAAAAAGAAATTCAGCAATTTTTTTTAATGGATTCCGGAGTAAAATGAATTTCAACTTCCAAAAAATGACACGCGAAGAAAATAGAATACGATAATTAATTCAGAAGAAGAAGGAAAATTTGAAGGAACGAAAAACCTTGAAATCCAAATTTTCACTATCAAACTTTAAAAAACGCGTAAAACAGCGATACAAAGCGAGCTTAATTTCATTAAAAATGGATTTTCTAGAATTCATTCCAGACGACGGCATCGTCTTGGTCAGCAATTGATATTCTACAATGTATCATCATTCTTCAATTTCAAACTCAGAAATTAAAATCCAACAATGACACGCAAAATGAGGAAAATTTGGATCAGAAATATAACTTACATGATAGCAAGCACATTATCCATAGGAACAAGTCTTGACATACTGTTCAGATGCAGCAGAAGTCCAGAATCCGTCTCCATTACAGCTTTCACGAATCCGGAGAAAGCGTCCTGCCTGAAATTCATGGAATCCATTACTTCGTAAGGTTTCTAAGCAATTATTGCGAAAGGAGGAGATTTTTTATTCAATTCATCATATATTCCCCAAGTTTGGATCGTTCAAGCGTGGTTATAGACGTCACTCGGAGTCGCGAAGGCTCTTGAACTTACTCTGTTCCGGTCGCTTTCACGTTAATTTGCATAAACTAATGAGAAAAATTCTATTCGCAGTTTTCCTCCTCGCAAAGGTTATTTTGAACTGCGAAGAAAATAAACAAAAAACTAATAACTATTAATTTTCGAAAATAATGATCATACAATTGTTAACTGAGACCTTTCTCGAGCAACGGAATGCAGTCGACGACTGCATAAATAAATTAATTGCGCCAAATTTTCATGCATTTTTTTGTGTGTGCATGAAATCCGAACGCACACACAAGAAAAGACGTCTTTTCCACTCCAAAATAGCTCATCTATCGGACATCCGAAACTTGGTGACATCCGGTGTCAAATTTATGCATATAAAAAAATTAAATATTCAATGTAACGTCTCACTTGTTCTTGGACGAAGACGACATTTGGTCAGGTTTGAAATAAGCTCCATACATCGGATAGAAACCCATCTTTGTGAACACCTTATGAAATACGGCGCTGAGAAACGCCTTCTTGTTTTTCAGCTCTTCGCCCCCGTACGGATTCACAGTCACTCTAAATTCCTGATCCCCCAATGTAACAACGCCGGTAAGGGATACCGCGAGATTCTCAGGCAAAAACACGCTGTCGCAAAACTCCGACAACAGTTTCGGATTCGGCAAGCCTTCAATCGTACGCATCCCGACCTTCGCAACTTTGACTCCCTTCACTGCCGGAACACAGTTTATGGCGTGTCGAAAGACTGTCAGGCCCGACCTACACTCGACTCTTATGGCATTCGACACGACGGTTTCCGGATTGTCCAAGGGACTCCATGTCGGGGTCACTCGAGAAACTGAGGTCACAGACGGTGTCGAAGTAGGTTTTGTATACGAACTGGGCCCTGAAGTATCCACAGGAATCCCGGGTGGCAACTGCCTTTGATAAGGCAAAGGTCTGCAAAATTCAAGGTTTCCGCAATGAAATATTTTTGCCGACCACAAGTTCAAATAATAATTTCAATAACCTGATTCCACGTCCACGACCTCGACCCGAGTATCCTGTACGAGATTGTTCGTCCCAGAATGCGAAAGGATCATTGCTGGATCCAGGTCTGAAATTCAAGTAATCCATTTCAATTCGAAGCCAATTGCCACTGTATTTCCAAAATTTCAGATAAAGATAACAGACTTCATCACCACCTTCAACAAACTCGACTCCATCCCTCAAACATCTAAAACTCAAATTTTCTGGAAACCTTTCGGGCTATTATTTCGGAGCGCCAGAATAGAGAAGAGCAAAAAAAAGTCACTTGGTGATAATCAAATGGAAGGGAGTGACAAATCGAGCAAATAAACCTCTGCTACCAAATTCAGCATCTTGCCAACTCATTTTCAAAACAATTCAATGCACAGGAGTTCACCAATGTAAAATTCCTGTAATTCTTTAATTTATCCCGCAAAAATTCAACTTCAAATCTCTGTAACTCAAATTTGTTGCTCCTCCCTCAGAGTTTGTATTACAATAATATATTAGGATTAAAGTACTAAAAAATTTACTTGAAAGTTGAGAGAGTAGAACTCACTGGTTCAGTGATGAAGGATTTCTTGGTCTTTGAACTTCAGGAACCCTTCCCACGCTTGGACCCGGGGTTGGCAACAAAGGATGCCTTCTTCCCTGAGGCTGTTCATTCCTGTCGCAGGATAACAAACATTTATTTAAACAAAATTGAAGACCACACAAAAATCAACGCTTTTGCCAACCTGGGAACAACAGGAACTGCACCCGGCGTAGGTAAAAGCGCACGCCTTTGACCTCTATCACCACTCATATTTCAAGCTGTCATCTCAGTCTGCAATCGAATATACAGTATATTACACTCAAAAATTGTCAAAAAATCTGCACTTTGCACAGGAAGCCTTCCGTTGATCATCACCTGCCCAAGAACAAATTGCGCATCTAACGAAACGGGTAAGTTGCACAACGAAATTTTAATACTCCGCAAAAAATTACGAAAGGCAGGAAACAATTTCGCCATTTCTTTTGAAAGAGAAAAAATAACCGAGGAAAGCAGATCTTGGGCAGATTTCGAATCAGGAAAACGCGACGAATAATAAATTGGAGGGATCAGAAATAACTGCGAATATTTGACATTCTTTGCACCCGCAAAAGTACATTGATCAATTGCATTTTTCCTCCATTACACAGGATACAACCAGGTCTTGTGACACGGCTGGACGCATAGACAATAAAGCTGGCTTTCTTTTTTTCCACGCAACGCGCTCTTTGGACACAGGAAGCCGGTTTTTCTTTTTTCTTTTCTTTTTTCACAGCAACAGATCCAACTACCTCTTCACACCCATTCCGCATTATCACACATTTCACAAAAATTTTTCCCGACGAATTTCCGATCTCGACTCTTGAGCAGTTACGAAGGAAATGCCCTTTTGCTTCGCACTGTAACAACAAGGAGGAGGTTTTTGCGAAATCGTTGATAAAAATCCTATGACCGGACAAAACCAGAAATATCTTTGATGCTGAAGCAAAAAAATGCTCTGTTTACCAAAAAAAAAGGCATCAAAATAAACTTTCCATGCAACGGTATCATCAAGGACTCGGATTGATTGAAAGACCCAAAAAAGTACAGTGAAATCACGCAAGAGCAGGACAATCATTCCTCAAAGTCAAGGCTGACACAGATGTAAAAAATTCACCAACCCCCATAGGATTTGGAAATATATCCCATCAAGCTCAGTTTGCAAAAAGTATGATTCTCCCAATTGCCATTACAGGAATTTCACAATCTCAGTAGCACCACCATCCTGATCTTAAACGACGTTGAAATTGTACTGTGAATCATTTAATACTTCTTAAATAATTTTCAGAAGCATAATTATTTTCATTCGTCATTCTCTTTCAGGAGAAATCCGAATCCGGAAAGAAAAAATACAAGAAATTCGTTTACGATTGTCATTACAGGAATTTCACAGTAACAGTAGCATCGCCTTCCTGATTTCACACGATGTTGACATTAAACTGTTTCCTGAATAATTCACGAAACGAATAATTTGATACACCCTGAATACTTGTCAGGAGTACATTTTTATTCCCGGATTCGGAAAGAAATTTCAGCGTAATGCAGAAGATAGCGACAACATTTTTTTGAAAATCAATGGAAGTTGCACTGGTGATCACCAACGCCATAAATTCTGCTATAACGTTCTCTCAACAATTAACTGAAATTTCGTTTGTTACTGGACATGTTCGGGGAGAATTACGCCAGTTGCAGAACCATAAATTGTACATGGCAATATTCCCTTTGCTTTTACCACCTCTAAGAGACCAGAGCACTTTCTTCTTCTAAAAAATGCCCTTCTGCTTCAACTCGGTGCACTTGGAGCCTCGATTCATGGAAGAAAGGGAGATTCACAGGTACTCGAAAACCCAATTGTCAATTTTCCTGAACTTACACTGACCGCTAGAGGAACGCAATAAAAAAATTTGTGCGCAAAAATTCTTCACGAATTTCACCTCAGGGCTAATGCGAATTCCACTTGTGATTGTACGCACGCCGAAAAATCACCTTATCATTATTGCGGCAAGACAAGAAATCGCGAAGCGAGCAAAAAAATGCATTCTAGCTCACATGAACACAGGGAGATGATTTGTGTCAGTCCCGTTTTTCGAAACTTAGGAAAGATCGGATGCTTTTTGGCGTGATGGGCAAAACTTTGTTACGGAACGACGTATTTTTCACGATCACAGCTCTACAACACTGCTTCAACGACATCGGACCGCCGCAATTCAACTGGTTCAATTCGACGCCTTGAATACTCAATTTTGGACATTTCCCGCCAGCTGCTTTCAGGAGACACAAGAGCTCACGTTTGAAATGCACAGTGATGTTCGCATCGCAAACGCGCACAAGAGGATGAACACCGACGTTCATGTCACACTTGTTAGGATCAGCACCATGAGAAAGCAACAACTTCGCAATTTCTGGAAACAAACAAACGAACTCATTTATTCAATTTTGTTTCCAGTACGAGACCAATATATTAAAAGTTTAATACTGTGCATCGAAAATGGCGAGACAAACCTATGTTTCCGGCGTCAATAGCAATGTGTAATGGCGTGACACCAACCAAACCATGTCCACTGAAATTGACATGGTTTGGATCTGCTCCATGATCCAACAAAAGAAGCACACAGGAAGAATCGGCTAGACGAACAGCGGCATGAAGTGCAGAGTTCCCATCGGAATCTCCGAGATTAACCGAGCAACCCAGGTTCAACAATACCTCCACTAAAATAAAACAGCCATGCCTTTAGAACTTACAGTCCAAGAGGAAATTACGCTCGAACCTCTTCAAGCCAAACTTCGTGGGACTCGCGATAAAATTCGAATTACAGAAGTTTCCAGTTTAAAATAACTAGGAATTACAAGAAATTATAAATAGTAAAATTATTACCCTTAAATTGCGCCTCGAACGAGTCGAAAGGATGCCGCTTTCACTTCCTTTCAAACACATTAAACTACATTTACCACTTTCTATTTTCCAGTATCAATGAAATAATCGCCGAAGACCCCCAGAAAATTCGAGCTACAGAGGTTTGAGGAGGAAAGCCTTTGAGTTCCAGGAATAGTGGGGCAACGGAATTCATGACACGAAGAAAATCGGATTCAACATACCAAGCTCGAACAAACGACGTTCAACACATATTAAAATCACTGGTTTCATGACACCGCCACAGGGATACCGTTGATCACAGTCTGCTATCCCACCAACGATCAATTCTTCCAGTTTCTTAGCATCTTTACGAGCGATCGCCAAGAGCAACTCGGCAGCACCTTGCCAATGAACCATGTTCAACCTACGTAAGATACAATACACCATTTCGATTCGAAGTACTGGTATTTGAATGATGTACTGAATATACTTACGATGAAACGCGAACAGAAATCTATAGCAGGAAAAACGAACACGAAAAATGCCCACAAAATGCCCGAAGAATAGAAAACTAGGGTAAAGAATACCCGTCCTACGAAAGGAAAGCATCACAATGGTATACATTTTCGAATGCTATGAATGAATTACTGACAAATGAAAAAACACCGATCTGAATCATTCGCGTGATTTATCAAACCAAAAGAAATCCACAAGACAGGAGGAAAACGAATTCAATTAAGGAGATCTGAATCGTCACATTAACGCATAGAGGAGTCACTGGGATCCGCAGCTTGAAGAAGAGTGACGTTGTCTCCTTTCAGAAGTATTTTTCCTGCACAGAAACCTCATTAGACAAATCCTAGTTTCCGAAAACAGAATCTCTAAATACCTAGCGATTTGCGTGAATTCGTTTTCTTGTTCACCTCTTCCGCTTCATCGATCACGAGGTTCATGTACTCGTCAAATCCTATGATCTTGCCTTCCAGTCGAACACGGTTGTTCTCGTAGAGCCAAATTTGAACTTTGGTGGCATTTTGAAGATATCTGAAGATCAGATTCTGCAAACAAAAACATATTTCGCATGAGACACGAGTGAATCCTGAACTGTAGAACGAAGCCACTACTTACGATGGGTTGAACCATAACTTTCTGCACGCGTCCGCCACCCCCATGGCCACCGCCTCGGAACCCGCCGTAGGACATTTTTGAGGTTTACTCAATTGAACTTGCAGAAAACACCTGGAAGAAAGCAATGAAATTTAGTGACCCATTATTTCAGCGACAATCCACAATCCCCTCAACTGGGAAAGCTCCCACGTCTGCCCACGTACATCTCACAAAATCATGAACAATTCACGACTAAAGAATTTCCGAAAACAATTTGATTAAAATTTAATATATAATTAAAACCGAGCGTTTGCAAATGAATAGTCATAACGCTTGGTGAAAAACACAAGTAATTCAGCGATTAGTGCTTCCACCCGCGTAAGTTTGTGGAGGTCATTACAGCGGCTTTTCTTTCCAGATGGGTGGCCATATTGAAATAGCTCGAAATAATCAAGGAGCGCTCGGAATAGAATGCAAGAGCACTTGAATTGCAGTGAGATAAGTGGATATTCATTACTTCGCTTGAGTCACTATCAAAGGTAAATTTATCTATAGTGAATCATTTGAGTTCATTATAGGAGAGCGTACTCCATTTCCACATCTAGTTATTCACTGGTAGTAATTACTTGTTGAAAAAAGCGGGGATGTCATGGTGAACAATGAACAAGAAATATTGGCAATCCCTGACCATTTTCTTTTGTTGCAAAGAATTAAAGTTGTTGACCTTAGTTATTATTACTTGCCCCAGCAGTGCTGATATCATAAAAAATTTCAGGCATCCCATTTGATCCAAAAATTCTTCATCACGTTGCGTGCTTGTCAAAAATAAATGACGGTAGAATAATTCAGAAAATTGGATAAATAGACTGACTGACAAATGTTAATGAATACAGTAGCAGTTTATCATCCTTCACCTTTCTATCAAAAAGGAATGCACATCATAAACGAATGAATCCCTATTTGATGGCAAAAATCGTTTGGGAACGGTTTTGCAAACTTTTTCAAACAGCACATTTTCTCGTTAAAAAAAATATAATGACAGTAATAATTTTGTAACGTTACGTTCTGGTTGGAAATGTATTCTACTGTCGAATTTTTAAAAACAAGAAATCATCAAATTGTGCTTGAAGAAAATGATTTAAGATTCAAAGGAAAATAATAAAATTTGTTCATGCAATATTTTGTAAGGAAAAAATTGCACTTGTTTTTTTTTACCAGGACGTTTTCTGCAAAGAGAATTTTTTTTTCATATTACTGTAGCATGTTTCTTGGTGTCTCTCGTCGGTTTCAGTATGGATATCGTTTTATGAGGGATGGTTTCCTGCTTCAAAAGCAATTTAATTTAATCCCATCACGTCAACACAGAACATCAATTTAATCTCTCTGTTTCTTCACCAGATCAAATCTTTTTCACTTTTCATCCAGCTACTCTTTAGAAGTTTTATCCCATTTCTGTTTCAGTTTATGGTCTAAGATAAGTAAGTAGTAACAAGGCTCCCTTCGAGGAAATCTGAAGCAAAACAGGTTCCATTAGTATAATGGAAGAAAAACATTGTGAAAAGTTTTGTGCTAGAATTTATTTTTAGCAAATGGAATGGAATGGCTGATCGTTGCATTTTATTTTTGGAATTTATTATCTTTTGCCTCCTCATATATAATCCTTTATCACAATAGTGACCAGATTCTACTGCATTTGAAAATATTTTTATTTCTGGATATCAATATGCTCTTCAATTCAACATTATCCAGCACAAAGAAATGATTAGGGAAATAGCATGGGATGAAGTTAGCAGAAGAAAAATACAACCTTGAACCAATTTTATTTAATCCTCCATCACCAGGCATCAATGTAATGATGTTTTTTCACCTAATCCAAGCTTTTTCACTTGTTTGAATTGAGCTAAATTGCCAATGTTCCACTAAATTTCTTTCCAATATGCAGAAAACATGAGAAATTCAGCATGAAGAAAAATCTTGTTGAAATTATTTTTTTCATCTACAGGTCCTAGGGATATTTCTTTGAGACGCGTTTTCCCAAAATAATGCTTGACTTGGGTGGAAAAGTAATTATCCGCAGTTTGTTTCTTTTTATCGTTGCTACTCTCGGTGTCTATAAAAAACCTCACGGGCACAAAGTGTTAAAGTACGGTTTTTTATTCGTAAGAAGTCTGAACACGTCTTCACACAACTGAGTACCTGCTAAGGACAAAGAGTTAGAATGGGTCAGCGATTTGTGCAGAATTCACAAATATTCCCAGGAAGAAGCCAGGCTTTGTTTGAAACACAGAGAAGGAAGTGGTTTAGGCAACCATTTTGTATTCGCTGGTGACTCAACGCTGAGAGGAAAAGTAGTTAAATTTGCCGAAATTTTGGGATTAGAAATTATTGACGGGGATTTGAACGATCAGCACGGCAACAGAACATGGAGTGGAGCCCATGGAACCGAAGTGCGTTTCTACTGGAATGCCTTGATGTCTGAATTTTCCTTCAAAAAGGTCTGCAACTTTTTGTCCTAGAAATATATACACTACTGTCTTCCAGATAAAATATGTGGGTATAAAAATATAAAAATCACACTTCAGAATTAAATTTGAAATGTTCTCCTGCCGATTTTTTTACATTTGCATGCTGGCGAAGTTAATTTATTATTCAATGAAAATATAACAAAATTTTTTTCTGTGTTTAGTAGAATTTTTTTATGCTTCAGGACGTTTTCTTTAAAAATGAAATGTTTTTCTATATAGTGGCATGTTTCTTTTGTCACCAAAATATAATATGAGTGTCCTGTGATAGGTTTACAATAATGCTTCCATATTGTCCGCATCTTACATCCTGAAACATAAGAATACTTTCTTGCCTAGCAACGCAGTTCCAAAACTGATGAGGTCATGACTTGTACTTTTATAGTGTCTGGTTTGCAGTCATTCCCAGTCCTCCTTTTGGTTGCCCCGACTGAATTGCATCATGTCCGTCTGGTTCATCTAGAATCTACTTAAGGTCTTGCAAGTGTATATTTGGTATTCATTGTTGGTCTGGCGTTGGTTGAGATTATATAGAAATATACAATAGTGCAGAAATATTACTCTTCAGATAGAAGTGAAGTTTTGACCCAATGTCCTTGTTTCTGTACTATTGTGAACCGCAGAGAACAGTAAAATATAATAAATAAAAATGAGAACCATAATGTCATATTAAACACTAACTTAATGATTAAAGCATACAAATAGTTAGAAAGAAATATTGAATATTTCTGTTCAAAAAAGTAATATCTCTCAAAAATACTTGGTCATCAAAACTGGATAAAATTTTGTGAGAAAAACAATAATTTTTGGGCATTATCCTTTCAAAAAGGTTTTTCATTGATTTTTTCAAAGGCCCCACCATTTTTTCATATGATGATATTGCACTTATTTAAATGTGATTATATACATACAAGATTGAAAAATGTTCCAAACGTATGCATCAACAGGAAATGGTGGAAAATGTGGATTTCTTCACCTTTGGAACTTTCCTGTGGCTGTTTTGGGGCAACGCAAATTTTTCATCAGAGGATTGTATTATCAATTCAAATAATACAACGTCGGAACAGCAGAAAGCCTGTGCCAAATATTTCTCAAAGTTGGAAGAAACAGCACAATTTCTGGATCAATCGGCTATTGAAAATGTGATTTTCTGGGTGCAAGAACCAGTGGATCCAAGTTGGGAATCCCTCAAATCAGAAACCGATTTTTGGAAAATTCTCAACAGATCCATACAAGTGGTGAAAAAGTATGAAAGGATCATATTATGGAGAAGTCTTCACGAATATGCAGTTCAATTATCCAAGCACATCCCTATTGGAAAGGTCATTACAGACAAATTTCATGTTTCATCCAAATATTATGAGACAGGATTGAACACTTGGCTCAATTTCATGTGTAATGGTGTGAACATGGAACTGCAACATTCCTACTGCTGTCATGAATAATGCATTTGATTCAAAATCAAGTAGTAGAGTGTCCGCAGTGCGGACAAAAAAACAATTGCAGAAGTGGGATTCAAACCCACACCTGCAGAACCACACTGTGACCTGAATGCAGCACCTTAGACCGCTCAGCCATCCTGACAACTTAATGTTAATTAATGCGTTTTCAAGTACACAAATTGATTCAAGGTGCAAAAGGCCACAGACACACGTTACACGATGTCCTTATTATTCCCCCCAGACCCCTGTAGGATCCTACTGGTGTTCCTCCCACTGCAGATGTTAAAGTTTGATATCCTGGGGATTTCCTATATGAGTAATTCCCCAGCTTCACTTCACTGCTGATCATTGTATTTCTTTTGGAATTTATTACCTTTTAACTTCTCATATTCAATCCTTTATCACAATAATGGTGACCAGATTCTACTGTAATTTAAAATATTTTTTTTCTGGACCTCAGTACACTCTTCAATTCAACATTATCCAGCACAGATAAGTGATTACAAAAATAGCATGGGATGAAGTTGGCAGAAGAAAAAAAACCTTGAACCAATTTTATTGAATCCTCCACCAGGCATCAATTTAATAATCCTTCTTCACCAGATCCAAGCTTTTCCACTTTCCATGCAGCTACTCTTTATATTTTATCTCCATTTTTGCCNCCAAATATTATGAGACAGGATTGAACACTTGGCTCAATTTCATGTGTAATGGTGTGAACATGGAACTGCAACATTCCTACTGCTGTCATGAATAATGCGTTTGATTCAAAATCAAGTAGTAGAGTGTCCGCAGTGCGGACAAAAAAACAATTGCAGAAGTGGGATTCAAACCCACACCTGCAGAACCACACTGTGACCTGAATGCAGCACCTTAGACCGCTCAGCCATCCTGACAACTTAATGTTAATTAATGCGTTTTCAAGTACACAAATTGATTCAAGGTGCAAAAGGCCACAGACACACGTTACACGATGTCCTTATTATTCCCCCCCAGACCCCTGTAGGATCCTACTGGTTGTTCCTCACACTGCGGACGTTGAATAAGTTTGATATCCCGGGAATTTCCTACATGAGTAATTCCCCAGCTTCACTTCACTGCTGATCATTGTATTTCGTTTGGAATTTATTACCTTTTGCCTTCTCATAATCAATCCTTCATCACAATAATGGTGACCAGATTCTACTGTAATTTAAAATATTTTTTTTCTGGACCTCAGTACACTCTTCAATTCAAAATTATCCAGCACAGATAAGTGATTACAAAAGTAGCATGGGATGAAGTTGGCAGAAGAAAAAAAAACCTTGAACCAATTTTATTGAATCCTCCACCAGGCATCAATTTAATAATCCTTCTTCACCAGATCCAAGCTTTTCCACTTTCCATGCAGCTACTCTTTATATTTTATCTCCATTTTTGCCTGAGTCTGTGATCTATGTGAAGAAACAGTGTCACCTAAGAGGAAATCTGAAGCAAAACATGTTCCAAATAGAAAAAAAGTCTATTTGAAAGTGAAGCATTTACTTTTGGCAAACTGAATCAATGATTTATTCTTGAGTGCTGCAGGGTTTCCATGCATGAGTTGTGCAAAATTACCTATTGCCCATGCAATTTATTTCCAGATGCAGAAAACATGAGAGACTCAGTATATGACAAAAAAGTTTGCTGAAATTCCTTTTCAACTGTCCTTGTGATTTTTCTTTTCAGCAGGTTTTCACAAAGTAATGTTTCCAATATTGGGTAGAAAAGTAAATTCAGCGCTTTTGGTTTTGTTAAATTTTGCGGTCTTCAATGTTTGAAATGTGATGCAAAACATGTTCCAATAATGGAAGAAAAGCATTTTGAAAAAGTTTTGAATACGCTTTTTGCAAATTGAATTGATAATCTTTGGTTGATCAGAGTAGGGTTTCCATGCATGAATTGAGATAAATTGCCTATTGTCCACAAAATTTATTTCCAAATGCCGAAAAAATGAGAAATTTGGCATGATTAATATCTTGTTGAAATTCTTTTTGATCTACAGGTCCTCGGGATATTTCTTTGTAACGGGGTTTCCCAAAATAATGCTTGACTTGGGTGGAAAAGTAATTATCCGCGGTTTGTTTCTTTTTATCGTTGCTACTCTCGGTGTCTATAAAAAACCTCACGGGCACAAAGTGTTAAAGTACGGTTTTTTATTCGTAAGAAGTCTGAACACGTCTTCACACAACTGAGTACCTGCTAAGGACAAAGAGTTAGAATGGGTCAGCGATTTGTGCGAAATTCACAAATATTCCCAGGAAGAAGCCAGGCTTTGTTTGAAACACAGAGAAGCAAGTGGTTTAGGCAACCATTTTGTATTTGCTGACGAATCAACCATGAAATACAAAGTACAGATGTTTGCGAGCGTATTGGGATTACATTTTGTCGATGGTGATTTGAACTATCAGTTTGGCAACGAAACATGGAAAGGAAACCATGGAACCATAGTGCGTTTTTATTGGAATCCATTATTCCAGCACTTCTCCTTCAAAAAGGTTAGCAAGTAACATCATTCAGAAATGCATACATTCAATTTTTTGTTTCACACAAAAAGCTTCTGTAATTTTAGTTTTTCATTAGATATTTTACTCAAAAGTACCAATCCTGTCAAAAAACGGTATAGACAAGTTTTGTGATTTCCCACTGGTTTGCTCTGATCAATTTCACTTCTTGCATTTAAAAGAGAGCCATTTATAATCAGCATTCAATTTTCTGTAAGAAATGTGATTGATGAAAGGAAAATTACCGAATACTACAGAAATCCAGATGAAGATCCCTCAATTTGTGTGCAAAAATTTATTGTTTTTATTGAATGTGTGTTGCATCATTGCATTTATTGTGATGTACCATTTTTTGTATTGTGTTTGATTGTGATTTATTGTGCACTGTGATTAAACCAAACCAAACTAGGGATATAAAATTAGGGTACCCCCTCAACCCTTCTGTGGCTAAGTTGGACTTTTTTGCAGATTTTTGTGGCACTCCAGAGTGGAATTTAAAAAAACCCCCCAACAGTGTGTGCAGGGCAAAGTCTGGAAAATCCTGGCATTTTTTTTAATTTTCCACAGAAAAATGTGACCTGAAAATGAAAAAATGAAAGCTTCAAGGCTCCCTTTTTTTCCCTGCTGGCCTTGTGTTGTTTCCCCATTCAAAGATTAAATTTAAGCTTGAAAGCCAGGAGCCCAGGTTGGAGGTCAATACAGTACAGAAAAAGTCCAACTCAGGACTTTCCCGGCATTTCATTATCCCCAGAAAAAATCCGACTTTGTCCTCCCCCGCCTGGCAGGGGTTGCATAACCTTGTGCAATAATATAATGCACACCCATCAGGAAAAAGTCCAACTTTGCCCTGGGATGGAAAGGAGGCTGCCACCATCCAAGGGTTAATAACATATTCCTGGCTGCAAACCAGCTGATTGCCCTGCCTTATTATTTCCCACGTTTTCTTCCACTGCGCTATGGTTCAATTCTTTATGTTGGGTTGATTAATTCCTCAACATACTTAACCCTTGGGCAGCAAAGTTGGACTATTTTTGCAAAATTTTGTTGCATCTCAGGGCAGAAAATAAAAAAAGGACAACAGGGATTTGAGGACAAAGTTGGGGAAAAATCCAATGTTTTTTTCTTTTTGCACAGAAACATTTTGTGGGAAAATGAAAAAATGCTATGCTAAGCAATGGGCTTTTCTGGGATCAATCCCGACTTTGCCTCAGCCCACCTGGAAGGTCTTTTATGACCTTCAGAAAAATTAAAATGCCTTAGCATACAAAAACAATCCGATTTCAGCCAGCAATGGAAAAGAACCCTTTGCCGTCCAAGGCTTAAGTTAGATTTTAAAAAACTTGATCAGCTGCTGGAATGCAGCTGGGTCAAAACCCTTTTATAATGTTGATTTAGTTTCAACTTGACAGTCAGGAACATTTGAGATTGTGTCTGCCTTCATTGTGAATTTCTCAACATGTTCCTCAAAAGAGTTTGATTATGAAGGAATTGAATAGTTTGTTATAATGTTATTTTTTTTACATGTACCCTATAGGATTTCTGCTGGGACTTGAAAAAAAGTTGGTTGTACTGAAACATTTGTTGCAACAAAATTTCACTGTATCTATATAGATGATGTTCCAAAGACCCTATAAAATAGACATCATACCAATTTCACTTCTTCTGACCCAGATTCAAGAGTGCAGGAAATAAAACATTCCCAAATAACTCATGTCAACAGGAAATGGTGAAAAATGTGGATTTCTTCACCTTTGGAACATTCCTTTGGCTTTTACCAAGTCAACCAAACTTGACAAAAGAGGCTTGTTCCCCAAATTCAAATTCCTCAATCTCTAAGACTGACGACTGTGCCAAATATATCTCCAAGCTGGAAGAAACATCAGCATTTCTGAATAACTCTGACATTGACAATGTGGTTTTTATGCTTCAAGAACCTGTGGACCCAAAGTGGGAAAGACTGAATTCCATTGCTGATTTTTGGGAAATTCTCATCAAAACCAAACAAGTGGTGAAAAAGTATGAGAGGATCGTATTATGGAGTAGTCCTCATGAGTATGCACTTCAGTTATCAAAGCAAATTGGTAATGAGGAAGTGCTTCCAGATAAATACCATGTTAATCTAAAGTATTTTTATGAAGGATTGAACACTTTTGTCAATTACATGTGTAATAGTGTCAACAAGAGACTGAAAAGTTCCCACTGTTGCCATGAATAACACTTTTAAAAATGCCATAATTGGAGACTAAAATTACATATATTCCTAAATAAATAAATCATTGTTCAAAGTTTTGAATGTGCTGTTTTTCAATAATTATTTTTGCTGTTTATGCTTTTTTGCTGCAGGAAGCTTTCTTATGTATGGTGAAGAGGGACATTTGAATTATTACACAATTTTGAAGGAAGGTTCCACTTCCCAATTGGAAATGAAGATGGCTGTTTCCATTACAATGCTTGCAAAGAATCTCCTTATAACACTTTTTTCATATCAGGTTTTTCTTTTGTCCCAGCAGTTTCTCTATATATAAGCACCATATAATAAAAACTCATTTTAACAAAATGGGTTCATTATAATGCATTTTAGGCAAGATTCTGTACATTGGCAATTGGGATTATTTTTTGATGAGTGTCAGAAACGAAGGAGGAAAATATTGAAAAGGTGCAGCATGACATATGTCTAATATAAAAAAATGTCTTAACTGGTCCCTGGGAGGAAAGAGATTTTACTGTATTTTATTTTTAAAATAGCTTGTGGGTTTTATTTGAAGAAGCAAAAAAAGTGAATATACACAATGCCAGCAGTGGTTTCATAGTGATGCCCTCTGGGAATAATAAGTCTTTATTTTGGTGTGGTTTGAATAAACTTGTCATTTATTCAAACTTGGATGGGCTGAGTTCCTTTTCTTCCCATGTCAGAGTCCAGTTTTTTTGCACATAGGTGCATTTTGGTTACTCATCGCCATTAAAAACCAAAAGATATCCCACATGAATCTTTACTCTGTTTCATGTAATTTCTAGGAATACTCACCAAATGTGGTTTTTGTCTACCTGGGAAAATAAAAATAAACCAAAAAACCCAACTTGTTAAAAAGAGGCAATTCTTACAGAAGTAAACTTGATTTTTCAAATTGTATTTGAAGATGGAAATTTTACTTGAGACTGACACTGTTTTGAAAGCTATTTTTAAAGAATTTCCAGATGGCATTAATTTCATGTTTTTACTATGCCTTTATTGCTCTCTGTTCTTTGGTTTGGTTTCCATTAATACCATCAATCAGTCATTACTTCATTCCTTTTTCCTACCCAATAAATTTTAAAAAAACATATAGGTGATTGATCTAAAGATGTGAAATGTATATATATAAATATATATGTGATTTTTTGGTCCCTTGCAGTCTGAGTCTGATTGATTTTGTAGTGCTGGCACTTACCCTTCATGTTGAAAAAGAGAGCTTCAAAGATGTTGAAGGCAATTGCCTTTGCTGATGGGATTTTTAGAATGTACAGGAGCAGAACTTGAAGCCATGGTTGAATTATTGGATTCCATTTCTAGTCCACTTGTCTGATCTGTATAGCTCATCACACACACATTTCCTCAACAGCCTGCTTTATAATTGAAAACTTCATCTCTTCCAGTTCTAAATAAACTTTTGAACTCATAAAATTTTGGTTTCTATATTAAATGTTTGCACATTACTCAAAATTGACATAAAACTGCATTTGCATTGTATGTATAATTCAAATGCTCCTCAAAAATAGCTTCTTCTTGAATGAATGAACAGAACACTTCATTTGCCCCTTTTCGGCATTCACAAGGTTCAATCAAGATTTTCACAACCAATCCCCCTTCCCACTCAACCCAAATCCACTCAAAGACATTTAATCACTTCAGAGCAGGAAACAGAGCACAAATTGATAACAAAAATAAAAGAAAATACAATCCTTGAAATACAACTGGACATCTGACATGTATGCATACACCCATTCATTCCCTGACATTGGAAGCAAAATATATGTAAAAATTAATTTAAAGCGCAAGGTCTTCAGCTTGTTTCTGCATGAGGTTTAGTTGAATGAACAAATTAGAGAGAATCTTTGATGAGCAATCATGTAAGGCCAACAGTTTATCTTGATCCTTTATGATTTCAGAAACAGTCTCTTCATTGAATTCCAATACAGTACCTGTAAATCTTTCTTAAGCTTGTTCCTATCAGTATGAAATGCTGGACATAAGAAGAGAAGGTGCTCTGGTGATGCACAAACTAATGCTGCAGGAGTTACACCAGGTAGACACTTTTGAAAATTGGATGGATTTTTTACTAAATTGCCATGCATTTTTCACTAAATTGCCATGCATTTTTACTAAATTGCCATGAATTTTTCAAAATAGCTATATATAGAGCTTCTTCTTGGTACAGAAAAATAAATGCATCAATTCTCATGCAAACCATCATTAGAAATTTATTTAGGAATTTCCAACAAATGAAGACCCAAAAAATGAAGAAATATTCATAAAATGAATCCTCGAAAANCCCCCCCCCCCAACAAATATATAAATGAAATAATAAATATATAAAAAATAGGGAAAAAGAGAGAGAGAGATTATAAAGCACCGCAGATAAGATGAGAGGCGGTTAAATGAACTCTGATCCCTCTTCATATCTCGTTCTCTCTCTCTCTCTCTCTAGACATAAATACACACACACACACACACACACTTCCCTCAGGGGGTTCTGTATGTATGTATGTGTGTGTGTGTGTGGGATCGAGTGCTGTCAATATCACCCCAAGAACCCCCTCTTATTTATACCCCAACCCCCTCCCCCTTTTTTTTCATCCTCATCATCCACATGTCGACGACGGGTCTCTTTGCTGGGCACAAGCATCACGAAAACAATGCCAGTTCTTGTCGGGACTTTCCACTGTTTGGATGTGATGAGCTAGGTGTTCATATATCTTGGGAAAATGTTCCTTCCTCCTTTCAAAATTTTTGGAAATTTAATAATTCATTTCCCCGAGTGATTCTGAAAGTTAATAATGATGAATTTTGTTGGCACAATGACGCAGAGAACTGATGGCTGCTTCGGATAATGGACTGCAGGAAAAGTGACTGTGATCTAATACAGTACATAAAAAAACATCAAACTTTCTTGTGTATGGTGTGAAGAAGTATTTTTTTTAGACTATGAATAACAATTTTTTTTGAAAGGTCTAAATTGGGCTACTGATGATATTTCCCTTACTTTTGAGTTTAAAAATTTCCATCTGGTGATTCTTTGATCCCTTTTGTGAGATGTTTGCTGCATCTCAAACAGTTTTATTTTATTTCTGAAATGCATTCATATGTTCATGCCAGAGAAAGTCAGTCAATAATTATTTAATAATAATTGCGCGTCTCAAGAGATAATTGCCTGTATAATAAAAAAACACTTTTTATAAAGCAATAGATTCAAAATTTTAAAGTTTTGGTTGACAGGTTTTTTGTTTGTGTTTTAAATTTTAAAATTGGTTTCTGAATGCTTTTCATGCAATTAGTAATTTTAAAGCAATTTTTCAGAGATCCAACATTGATCAAACATACACATTACAAATTCTAGGGACTGTTGAGGGTTTGGAATCAATTGAAAATTTTATTCAAATCTGTACAACTTCAATAACATATTTTTAAAGCATATATATATAGTCACCACTTGAACATGTGAAGTATATACATCAAATAAACAAAGACAATCTTGTGCAGAATAATTTTCAAATATGATTCTGTGGAATTTTATTCAAATTTTAAATGATATCCAAGGATCAGAATCTAGAAAATAATAGTAAAGTTCAGATGATTGAGGATTGTATCAAGTTGAGTATCAAAAGTTTAGTCCATGGTCAAAGGGCAATACTTTTTTTATGCATGATTTTAGTTTGAAAGTAAATGGATTTTTGCAGGTTGTGCCCTAATAGTTGGTGAGTGGTGACTCAGCAAGCATGGATGAATGAAAGAGTGAGTGCAGAAAATTGTTCCACAAATTTTGATGTTTCCATAACCTCCAAGTTTAAACTAAATTTCTGAGTAAAAAGTCCACCCTTTAATAGTAACTTTTATTCATTTTTACCTGTGACTCCTTAAATCCTTTCACCCGTTCCTCTACCACCTGATGTAACGGTGAATGTACCTTTGCATTCCAGACCGCAGGGTCACACCGGATGTGGAGCCTGGGTACTTGAGGAACTTGATACCCTATGACCCTCCTGACAACCCTGAGCCCTGGAAAAATATAATTGCGGATGTTGAGTCCAAAATCATGATTGGGGTAAAGTTCCTTGGCCTTCATACACTGCAATTGATGATAATTAAGAATAATTAAAACCAAGAGGAGCTCCTTCTAAGACTTTTTTCCTCATTTGGAAACTCAACTTGAATCATTTTTCAGATTTGGTAAGATTAGCTCAGGAAAATCTTGTTCAGTTATAACTTATAAGTTATTAGTTTTTGGTCACACAGTTGAGCAGTTGTCCACTTGATCTCCCAAAAGGAGGAATACAGTGGCCCCCGCCTAACAGACCTCCCGTGTAAGGGATTTTTGCCAAGCAGACCAGCTCTGCAAGCAGTTTTTCCTCCCACCCAACAGACAAAATCTGCAAAACAGACTTCTTTTGGTTTAAAATTAGTGTTGAAAATTGAAATTTTTAATTGTTTATGTAATTGAATTTGTGTAAAGGACTTTTTGTCTAACAGCCTCGTCCCTTGCACGAATCAAGTCCGTTAGATGGGGGTTGACTGTAAATGAGGAGTTGTTCTTCCCTGCTGGTCCATATAATTGGCCCAAATCCAAAAGATTGAAAAAAAATCATGTCCATTTTTCCAGCTTTGAAAAGCAGTGCTGGGTGAGATTTGCCAAACTATGAATTTGGCAAAGCTTGCAGAAAATCAATTTAGGATGTGGAGGATATATTTTATTTGGCAGTGACTATAATAAAAGGTCCCTTGCTGTCATCAATTTACTCTATTGGGAGAAAAACGTTTATGGTGTTTATCAATAGCAATTCTTATTATTTTTTATTTTAAGATAAGATATTTATGATTCAATTTAGAGTAATCACATTTGTTCTGCTTTGAAATTTATGTTTTTTATTTGCCTCAAATTAGATGACACACTGGCAACATCCTCAGTTCCATGCATATTTCCCTGCTGGTAATTCATACCCTTCAATTTTGGGGGACATGCTTGGTGATGCCCTAGGATGTGTTGGGTTCTCCTGGGTGAGTTTATTCACAGGTTTCTACTTTTTTGTAAAAAAAAAAGAGATTTATCAAGGGTCTTGATTTGGGATGGTTTATTTCTAGGCTGCTAGTCCAGCATGCACAGAGTTGGAGACCATTGTTTTGGACTGGCTTGGTGAGTAATCATCCCATAATCCCTGATGGGGTCCTATATTGCATCTTGTTGTTGTTTCACTTGAATTTGAATAAAAACAAGAATACCCATATTGTCATTTTACTAAATAAAAGGATGCCCCCAACCCTCTTTTTAAACCAAAAGGCATACACATTCAACAAAAAAATGAGAAATGTGGAGCATATTTCAAAGTTTGAGAAGTGTGAAGTTGTTCAGAGTCACTGGGAATGTAAATAACAATTATAATTGCTGTTCCAAACATGATGTATAAAATTCTGAATTGTTCCAGTCATCAAAAGCAATACAAGTTGCATTGCCTTTTGCTTGCATACTTGGAGGCACCCCTTCATAAATAACCCCTACTCTTATTGCTTCCAAAATAAAAATATAAATAAACATTGGTCATATTTTATTTAAATTCCATCATGTTGTATATATTAATGTCACTGAGATCCCACAGACAGAAAGGGCTTGAATTATTCCATGAAATAAGCTTTAGTCATGAATCTTGAGTCAATTCATTATCTTCAAAAGTCTTTTCTTTCAAAATTACAGGTAGGATGATAGGGTTGCCAAAGGAATTCCTGGCCTTCTCAGAGGGCAGCAGAGGTGGTGGAGTTATTCAGGTTAGTACAAACTTTAAAAATCACAGCTTAAAAAGTAGTAAAAGTATTGTAGTTTCCAATCACATTTTCAAGATTAGTTGAATAAATGGATTTTCCAGTGTAAAGATTATTGTATCTCATATCACAACATAACATGAGTACATTAACCTCTGGAGCTTATAGAAAATTTAGAATAAATGCAGAAAACCCTGTGTCAGTGCATGATTCTTGAAGCTGTCATTATAAAACTCCATAATTTTAATAATATTAATGCAAATATTCTCAAACTGTTTTGCAACATTCAGGAAAGGTGTATGCTTGCTGGAATATATGTCTTGAGACTCTTGTGAGATATTGCTCCTGGATTACTTCTGATGTAGCCAATAGAAAAGATTCTATACAGTTCAAAGAGCTAAGAAACTATCATACAAAAAGCCAAGTGCTGGGTTTCACAGACATCTGCAAGTGAATGCATCCTGGTGAATCTTCTGGCTGCAAGAGCACAGGCCATCAAAAAGCTTAAACAGCAACACCCATTTGTGGAGGAAGGTGTGCTGTTGTCAAAACTCATGGCTTATTGTTCCAAAGAGGCCCATTCTTGTGTGGAAAAGGCAGCCATGATCAGTTTTGTAAAACTGAGGATCCTTGAGCCTGATGACCAATTCAGCCTCAGAGGAAACTTGCTTAGACAGGTAAAAAAAAGCACTTTTCCTTTCTTAAAGCAGTCTAAAGTATATGCAAATGTTTCCAGCACACAAGAAATCCCAAATTATTGTAGATTGATTTTTTTAAAATTGTTAATAATTCAAATATGTATTTTTAAAGTTTTCATTGAAAAGCATTCTATTCATCCCAGACAATCACAAAAAAGCCGTCATGAATTTAATAAACCAGTATTTTTCATCAAGTTGATCCAATGCAATTGGGGGAATGGAATTAGAGAAATCCTGTGAATTTCAAACTCTGAACTCCTTGAGGTGCAAAAATTTTTGTGGGGATGAAAAGCATCAATTCCACCTCCATTTCATTTTTGTTACAATGATTGCCTGTGCAGGAAAATAAATAGAACAATTTGAAATGAAATTTTCTGAAATTTATGAATGAATTGTTCATCAAATTTTTTTGAACATTGTTTTTCATCACCAAGAAGTTTTATTTTGAGCATTTTTATTTTACATGTTGTTTCCAGTTATAAAAGGACCTACCTGAATAAAAGAGAAAAATGTCAAATTGATTTTTAAATATATACTCCACCTGAATTATCCAACAGATGCTGGCAAACTGTATGCTTCAATGAATGGAAGTTTTTCCAACAGAATTATTCAACATGGTTTTTTGCAGAATCAATTACAAAATATTTATTTCTCTTGCTAAAATATTTGCAGGCAGTCGCAGAGGACGTTGCCATCGGCCTAATCCCCTTCTTTTGCTCCACAACGCTGGGAACGACATCTTGCTGCTCGTTTGACAACCTGCATGAAATCGGACCAGTTTGTCAAGAGTTTGGCATTTGGCTCCACGTGGACGCCGCTTATGGTGGCAATGCATTCATTTGCCCGGAATTTCGTCATCTAATGAATGGCATTGAGGTGATTAAATATTTTCAAAACCGTTTTATTGAGAAGAAAAATTTGAACAGTAACATTTCATTTCAAAATGGTGTTCTTTTTCAGTATGCCTCGTCATTCAATACGAATCCCAACAAGTGGATGCTGGTCAACTTTGATACTTCCACCATGTGGTAACTGCATGTGTAAAAGAGATGATGATATTTCAAGTCGTCTAAAGTCACGTTTAAAAATCGTCTTTCTAAGTGAACTTAAATAACATTAAATACTTTTGTTTTACATGTCAAGATTTTTAAAGAGTATATACCGATTTTCATACCCCTATGTTAAAAACTTTACTAACAGTGCAGGAATCTAGAAAGTTGCTCAAAGTTAGGAAAGTGACCATGCTTGAAAATTCTGAAGAAATTGCTGCATACAAGAAAAATATGTAATTTGTTGTGAAACTAAGCAGGATTAGTCTTCCAAAATTTTAGACATGAACCTTGTGAAGGCATCATCAATTAAAAATGTTATTAAAAATTCCAGATACTCTGTACCTTCTTCAAAATCATTGACCATATAAATTGAGAAACTTGTAGGTGCATAAATTATTTATATACTGTATTCTCTTATGAGACTCTAAGTGTTTTACTGTTTATACTGCAGTCTCGACTGTAAGTGTATGAAAGACGTTTGACGATTTAAAATTTGGTAATTGAGTTTTATTGGTGTAATTGGACTGAGAAGTTTTGTCCTTATGTAAGGAACTCTTCAAGTAGGAGTCATCTCAGTACTGTGAATGAAACTTTCTTGGTTTATTTGTGTCTTAAAAACATGATAAAATTCAGCCAACCTTTCAATTTTTCTTGGCAAGATGACAAGGGTTCAGTGTTGCAGTTATATGACTGCTGTGTTCTCCTTTCATGTTGGATATTTCATATCTGGATTGTGTTCAAGGAAACATTTTAATTTAGAAAACTGTCTCTGAAAAAGTTTTATAGGCTACATTTTAAAACCATATGTTTCAACAAAAACATGTGAATAATACTCAGGAATCTGATTAATAAATATTTCAAGATTATTTGCTTCCAAATATTTTATATAATGTTTTGAAAATGATTATAACCTCTATTGATAGGATTAAAATGGAATAAAAAAAATTCAAATTAAATTTTGATGAGTCAAACCAAGCTTCAACTGTGGTTGATTTTCAGTTTTTGAAATCTCATTTATCTGTGGAAAATATTTTGCACAAAATATTGGCAGAAGTTTAATGTTAGACAAAAGTTAATGGTTTAGTTTTGCCACAAGCAAGATCAGCTAGTAATTCACTTGAATCAACAACATCACAATTATCATGAAAAATTGAGTTATATTAGAGTAATTGAGTAATTAAAATGCTTTGTACAGAATATTGGCAGAAGGTATTTTTTCAAGGGATGGTCTAATGCTGGTGTGAAACAAAGTAAATGAATCATTTGTCAGCCTTAAAGTTCTGAAATACATGTTTTCAAATTTTTGAAAAAAAAGTAAACAAATTTCTGGACAGGGTCAAGGATAGGTTTCAACTCACACAGGCCCTGGTGGTGGATCCTCTTTATCTCCAGCACAACTATTCCGACACTTCAATTGATTACAGGGTAAGTGAAACTTATAGTTTAATTGGAATGTTATTTGTGGTTATCCTAGATAGTTTCTGAGCAACTGTAAGTAAATTCTTCACAATAATTCTTCAATTTAGAAAATTCCAAGAACTAAATTTTTGGGGATCATTTACTTCCATAAAACTTTAAAGTCTCTTTCAAAGCACAATTATTTCAATTTCCATCAATTCAGGCCTCATATTTCCAAATAAAAATAGAACAGAAAAAAACGAAAACGTTAATCCCATTTTTCACAATACAGTATCCATTTTTTGTTCAATGAAATCCTTGGCGAAAAACCAAAGGCTCGGATTAAAAATACTATCAATATTTTAAATATAGACAGCGATAAAAGAATATCGCAGTATTCCATCAAAATTGTCACAAAAAAAAAAAAAAATTGGGATGCACAAAAAAATTGGTAAAAATATGACCACAAAAACTCGGGTCAAACTTGATGAGGAATATTTAATCAGGACTTGCCATTGAGTAGTATAAAATCATCATTATACTGAATTCAGACGATTTTCAAAACTTTTTTTCGCAGCACTGGGGGATCCCTTTGAGTCGTCGATTTCGATCCCTGAAACTATGGTTTGTTATTCGAACTTATGGAGTGACTGGATTAAGGGCATATATTCGAAACCATTGCCGACTCGCCAAACGGTTCGAGAAGCATGTTGAAGCCGATGCCAGGTTTGAAGTCGTCAACAACGTCCGGGTAGGCGATTTGATAAACTTCCAATTCTCATTTCGCAAATTTCACTGAAGCCGAAAATATAATAAAGCTATATGACACATACACACTTGTGAACGTAATGCAGAACGATAGACTTGTTGAACATGGAAGAACGGCGGTATAACAATTGCATAATGTCATGAGCTCTACGAGCGACATCTAAGCATTGGTTTCGGAAAACGCAAGAATAGCTTCTCCAGAAAATAATACTGGTGACACTGTAGCCTCTGTTTCAACCGAAACCTGTAGTATTTTACTTCCAATTATTTCCACGACGAACAGTAAATAATTTCCACAAAAGACTCGGTTTGCGGCCAGTTTTTGAGTCAGTTAACGGACCAACGATCTGGAAAGTAAACTGTGAGGATAGTGATTGTCCTAAAATAAATATATTTTGTGCTGGGAAATTTGGCTCCATGCCAAAATTACTATTTTTTGAGTACAAAAGCGTTTTTGCTGATAATCATGATATATTTTGCTCTAAATTCCTTCTCTCTGAGTTAATTTCTGCTGTTACATCATGATTTTTTTGCAGTGTATATTTGCATACCAGTATACACTCACACTTTTATAGTACATCAAACTTAGGATTTGTTGAAGGAAATTTCCAAAATACTGTACTACAATTCATGCTCTTTATCTGCATTCAATGCAATATTCATCCCATGGAAATTCTCAAATTACCCAGCTGACAAGAGGTCAGTACAACATTGAAACAAAGGAAAACAGAAAGAAAAGTACTGAACATTGTTCTATATATTATTTCTTTATTGCTGCATCTCTTCATAGAGTGTGTAAGAAAAATTGTTTCAAGTTCCAAGAAATATTGCATTCAACAACACTGCTTCAGTATCTGCAGTTTGAAACTCTGCTTGAATGATGTGCAACAATCAATTTTTGTTCAGCATATACTGTACTGTAAAATGAAACAAACTGGGATTGAAGTTGTCAGTTTCGATAGTAGCGACACCTGCGTCACGCTGAACAAAATGACGGATGTTCAGCTTGTATTTTTTAGTAGAAGAGGGTGTGAATGCGTTGGAACAAAGTCGGTGTTCGACCTATTGTTTTTATTTTTTATTTTTTTCATTCACAGCTGGGACTCGTTTGCTTCCGTTTGCGTGGTACCAACCACTTGAACCAGCAGCTCCTGAGTCTCATAAATGCGTCTGGGCGGCTCCACATGGTACCAGCCTTGCTTAATGACAAATTCGTCATCAGGTTTTGCGTTACAGCCGAACACGCTGTTGAGGACCACATTGGTAAGTGAGTTGGTACCTTGTCTGGCTTTTATTAAAAATTCAGATCTAAAGCTATTTTTCTCTGCCGAGAAGCGACATCTATTTTTTGAAAATCAGTATCACTTTTTTCAACTGTTGAACCTGAAAGTACTGTTTCAAATTTCCTCAATTGCTTGTATTGTCCTGCCTGAAATTTCATGATTTTAAATTCTTTATACCATGGATCTATCACTCATTATTTGGAAAAAAGCTTTTTGGTCCTTGCCTTGAGTTTACTCTAGATTTCTGGCACAATTAAGCTGGAATTGAAGACAAATAGGATGGAAAATTTTTTCAATTAAAGAAAAAAAACTTACCATTCATTTGAATTTTATTTATACTTTCAGACCATGCTTGGAATGTCATCAAAGAGTTTGCTGAACCCCTGCTAACTACAGTGAGGAAGCCCAGTCTGGTGAAGCAGGTGCGCCATCTATTCATCTAAATCTCAGAGTGTTTCAATGGGTCTGCAAGAAATGTTTAAAAGACTATTTTCAATTGCTGTAAAGTAATTATATATCACAGGATACTTCTAAAATACTTCCATGTCCCAACTGCTTCTTTAGAAATGCTCCTGAAATTCCTGAATAAATCTTTGAAAGTTTGAAAAGAGGTCTAAATTCTAAAACACTGCATTGGAAACAGTAAAAATATACCCAGAAAATAAGAAAACAGCAAGTGCAATATTAAAAATAATTTTTTTCCTTCAGAAAGCTAATAAAGAAGGCCTTTCGACATAGATAAATTTTGCACTTTTAAAATAATGGCAATAATTTCACATGTGATTTATTGCTCAATAAAAACAAGAAATGTAAGGGGCATATTTTCCCAATGCAAAAATCAAATGGTGCAAAACCCCATTATATTGAGCAAGGCGTCCATTATCTGAGGCACAATTGTCAAATACAGTCAACCCCCGTCTAACGGGCTTGATTCGTGCAAGGGGCAAGTCTGTTGGACGAAAAGTCCTTTACACAAATTCAATTACAAAAAAATTTAAAAATTTCAATTTTCAACACTAATTTAAAACCAAAAGAAGTCTGTTTGGCAGATTTTGTCTGTTGGGCGGGAGGAAAAACTGCTTGCAGAGCTGGTCTGTTTTAAAATTGAGTTATATTAGAGTAATTGAGTAATTAAAATGCTTTGTACAGAATATTGGCAGAAGGTATTTTTTCAAGGGATGGTCTAATGCTGGTGTGAAACAAAGTAAATGAATCATTTGTCAGCCTCAAAGTTCTGAAATACATGTTTTCAAATTTTTGAAAAAAAGTAAAAAAAAATTTCTGGACAGGGTCAAGGATAGGTTTCAACTCACACAGGCCCTGGTGGTGGATCCTCTTTATCTCCAGCACAACTATTCCGACACTTCAATTGATTACAGGGTAAGTGAAACTTACAGTTTAATAGGAATGTTATTTGTGGTTATCCTAGATAGTTTCTGAGCAACTGTAAGTAAATTCTTCACAATAATTCTTCCATACAGAAAATTCCAAGAACTAAATTTTTGGGGATCATTTACTTCCATAAAACTTTAAAGTCTCTTTCAAAGCACAATTATTTCAATTTTCATCAATTCAGGCCTCATATTTCCAAATAAAAATAGAACCGAAAAAAACGAAAACGTTAATCCCATTTTTCACAATATATCATTTTTTGTTCAATGAAATCCTTGGCGAAAAACCGAAGGCTCGGAATAAAAATACTAACAATATTTTAAATATAGACAGCGATAAAAGAATATCGCAGTATTCCATCAAAATTGTCCAACCTGTCACAAAAAAAAAAATTTGGGATGCACAAAAAAATTGGTAAAAAATATGACCACAAAAACTCGGGTCAAACTTAATGAGGAATATTTAATCAGGACTTGCCATTGAGGAGTATAAAATCATCATTATACTGAATTCAGACGATTTTCAAAACCTTTTTTTTTCGCAGCACTGGGGGATCCCTTTGAGTCGTCGATTTCGATCTCTGAAACTATGGTTTGTTATTCGAACTTATGGAGTGACTGGATTAAGGGCATATATTCGAAACCATTGCCGACTCGCCAAACGGTTCGAGAAGCATGTTGAAGCCGATGCCAGGTTTGAAGTCGTCAACAACGTCCGGGTAGGCGATTTGACAAACTTCCAATTCTCATTTCGCAAATTTCACTGAAGCCGAAAATATAATAAAGCTATGACACATACACACTTGTGAACGTAATGCAGAACGATAGACTTGTTGAACATGGAAGAACGGCGGTATAACAATTGCACAATGTCATGAGCTCTACGAGCGACATCTAAGCATTGGTTTCGGAAAACGCAAGAATAGCTTCTCCAGAAAATAATACTGGTGACACTCTAGCCTCTGTTTCAACCGAAACCTGCATTTTACTTCGAATTATTTCCACGACGAACAGTAAATAATTTCCACAAAAGACTCGGTTTGCGGCCAGTTTTTGAGTCAGTTAACGGACCAACCATCTGGAAAGTAAACTGTGAGGATAGTGATTGTCCTAAAATAAATACACTTGATCTTCTCGACAAATGGTTGGGATGGGGGTTATTTGGTGCTCGGGCAAGTCGTTGGCCCCAAAGATGGGTTTGTATTTATTATCGGCAATTTTTGTAGGGCTGTGACACTTTTGTTTTACGGCCCTGTTGAAGGGATAATTTGCTGCTACAGGCGCGTCCCGGGACGCGCCAATTAACAAAGACTCGTAATTTCTGAACTTCCTCTGTTTTCAGAAAAAATTCCGCACATGTTAGGCGGGGGGCCACTGTACAGCAATCCCAAGCTAGGTTTTTATTATTATTATTATTTTTCTTTTTAATTTGCAGCCTACGGCAAAAGAAGAACCATCAGAGGAGCCAGAACAGGTGGTACCAAGAGTTGAAGCAGTGTCTCCTGGTCTCTATCTGGAGGACATGAAACAAGATGGCGTCGAAAAAAGCGCTGCTGTCGAGGAGCCGGATGAGAACGCGTCGCCAGCAGTCGACACGGACACGGACACGGACGCCCGCCAGCAGCAGCAGCAGCAGCAGCAGCAGCAATTGTTGCACAAACAGCCGCCGGGACGCCCCAGTAGGCGCCCCTCGCCTAGGGACGCGGCGGCCATGTCTGCACAGGACATGCTCAAGTACAAGCGGTCCTTTTTCGTGCGGATGGTGAGCGATCCCAAGATCTACAACCCCAAGATCATCCGTAGCTTGAGCACTTACACTGCTGAGCACCACCACACGAACCCCGGGGCGGCGGCAGCGGGCGCCGCCATGGCCGCCACTGCTGCTGCTGACTGCCTGCCCGAGGATGAGGACGAGGATGATGAGCAGCAGCTACCCTTGCCTAACCTGTATGTCCACGTTTTGTGCATGTGGCACATGATTAATGCATTTTCCCCTGTACCATTTTTCTTGTGTCTCATTTAAGCTGGAAGAAAGATTTTTACCCTCAAATATTTTTAAAATATTCTCAACTCCATGTGTTTTAATCCACCTTATGCCGCTGTCACTAATTTTTCATTAATTCAGTCCAGACTAACTACTGTATTTACTTGAGTACCACATGCCCTTGAGTAAGGCGCGCACAGAGGTTTTTCAGTTGGAAATTTGGCTAAAATCTTATACACGAGTAAGACATTCATCCCAATTTTTAGTGAATCTAAAACCCCAAAATTTTGAAAATAAATTCAAAAAATTTGACTTTTAGACATGAATTGAGCAAAAATTAGATAAATTTTTGACTTTTTCAGTACAAAAAAGTTTTCTTGTTACATTTGTTTGAAATCCCTCCTTTATAATTAAGTATAATGCGCACATAACTTCCTTAAACTTATTGAAAAATTTGCACCCGCTTATGAGGCGGACCCCTTTTTTCTTCTGAAATTTGAGAAAAAAGGTGCACATGGTATACTTGAGTAAATATGGTATATAATTTGTCAATATAACTTTGTAAAGTTTTGTCATTCAATATTCTAAGTTAATCAGGAAGTAAATGTAGCAGTATTTATTTGAAGGAATATTGATGTCATGTTCAATTTTTAATTGAGATTATGCGTGCCAGGTTGGTAATTTATGATGTTTTTTGAAATTTTGAAAGTCCAGGTGCTTATAATTGTGCAGTATACCCTATTAAGCTAATAAATTTTATGTTTGGATATACAAATGAACCTCTCTAAGTCAAATTTCAAGGGACCAGAAAACAAATTTGACTTAGGGAGGTCAAATATAGGGTTGTATTTTGACTTGAGGAGGTCTGGAATTATAGAGGTTTTGAGCTACAACACATATCTCTTTTGTTCTGGGAAACATAGAAAAATAGCCCAAATTGTAAATGGCGGTATTCTGGGGCTTAAATTGCTTCTTGAATGATTGGGAAGGATGCTGAACTTTTAGGCAGGGGTTCATTTGCCCAATTACTGTATATACTCAAGTACCACGCGCCCTCAAGTAAGGCGTGCACAAGGGTTTTTCAGTTGGAAATTTTGCTAAAAATGTATCTCCAAGTAAGATGTGCAACCCAATTTTATTGACTCTAACACCACAAAATTTTGAAAATAAATAAAAAAAATTCGACTTTAGACATGAATTGAACAAGAATCTGATCAATTTTCAACTTTTTCAGAAAATAAAAATTTTTCTTGTTACATTAGTTCCAAATCTCTCCATTGTAGTAAAGTATAATGCACACATAACTTCCTAAAACTTGCTGAAAAATTTGTACCTGCTTATTATGACACGCACCCCTTTTTTTCTTCTGAAATTTGAGAAAAAAGGTGCGCATGGTACTTGAGTAAATATGGTAAGTCTTTCACTTCCTTTTCAGACACCTCAATTTTCAATCGTATTGCTTTTTTATTTCTTGTGTAAAGAAAATCATAACCAACAGGCCACTGAAAATTCAACTTACAGAGGTTTGAGGCGGGAAAAGCCTTTGACTTAGGGAGGTTTTTCATGCATTGTTTCTATATGGGGATTCAAAGGGGGTCTGAAAAAAATTGACTTTGGGGGCGTAATTGGAAACCCTCCAAACTCAATAGGTCCAAGTCGTGGACATTAACGAATTCCCAACCACTTCGATATTTACGTAACAAGGACCCAGTCCAAATCCCTAATAAAGGAGAAACGAAACCTATTCTTGGACATTACATTAGGGTTTGACAGTTGAGTATGAACACAGAATTCACACAAAATTTTGGAGGATTCAATTTGGATGACAGAGTACTAAGTTCGAACTTTTTTCAATACTGAATTTAAGTACTACCCTTACTTACCTACTTTTTTACGAAGTTAAGTTTTGTAAACAACTGTGACGAGTAAGGTATAGAAAGTAAAGACTCTTTCATCTGCATAAAATGCACCAACTGTTGGATGAATCACCATTGGCATGCCAAAGAAGCATGAGTTGGATCAGCTGGCCCTTGGCGTCCATCTTAAGTGGATCCGGACCGGAATCTGGCCCATATCCGGCCTCGTCTGGCCCTGCACCCAAAGTTCCAGTTCAGTTCCGCAATTGGAATACACAATTGACCCTGCGCAGTCCTAGGGTTCAGTCTCGAAGCTCCTCGCGCAGCCCCAAGCGCAGTGCTACCATCGGGGGTTCGGGTGCCAATAATGCTGGTATGGCAGGTGGCGCCACGAGCGTGGACGAGTCTCAACAGACGGACAAGTCACCATCCAACTAGTAATGCGCCCTGATGAGTTCTACAGATGTGCAGTTACAGTGAGACCCCCAGATGTGGACACAATTGGTGCATCAAGAGTGTCCCTAAGTTGAATTGTCCGTAAGTTGAGTTGCATTTTCCCTTAGACTTACATTACAAAATTTTTAATTGATGTTTTATGGGCAAAATATTATCTTTAATTCCATGAAAATAAAAATTGTCTCCCAATTTAAACTGATACACTCAATATATTTCAACTCAATATGGACATTTGGGGAATTGAATACTGATACATCTGTACATCTGTTGCGGACCAAAGCAACGCAGCTCCAGCATCCCGTAGAAACCTGACCCCAAAAACATGTTGGTTCTGGAGGCCAGTGATCCTCGCAAAAATCCCGTTTTCGCGAGACTCATTGAGCCTCACTCAAGGACAAGAAGTGGTCATCACTTCTTTGATTTTGCCTGAATCGGCCAATCCTGAGCCAGGAAGAAATGACCTGATTTCTTCCTGACCCAGTCCAAGCACCTGGGTATAAAAACCCTCATTCCTCTTAGAGAGGAGAAGTGAAGAAGTCAAAACATAATGTTAAAGGGCCTTTTAACTTTAAATTACCTCAATCATTATTCTGAGCTAACCAACCAATTTAACAATTGACTCTGCCATTATATTGAATCAACAGCCAATTGATGAACTGGGCAATGAGAATGAACTCCCCTGAAAAAGAGTTTGAGTTCTTATTCAAAACTCGCATTCTGATGGCTGCACAAATCAATTCCTCTGTTTGGGTTCCAATGGACCCATGACAACATCAGTACATAGAAATGTTGGCAATCTCTATCAAATTAACATTCAATTGAAAAAGAGAGACAGAAGTCCCTCATCTATGCTGGAGGTATTTCTTTTTTCAATTAGCTAAATGGATGTCAAATTGGCAAGAGAAATGCCCAAGAACTTTTCAGTGAATATCTTATCAACCCAATAAGAATATTTGAAGCATTGAATAATATACGGCTGTACAGTTCATTGAATTGTCGGCATTTGTAAAAATAACATCCAAGTCTCAAAGAAAGAAAGAAAGCCCCTCTGTGCTATAGGTAATTTTTTTAATTAGCTGAATGGATGGGAAAGTTATGGGAAAAGTACGCAAAGAATGTTTCTTGCATAGATCTTAGGGCTGGAAATATCGCTGTTTCCTGCAATTATGCCTAACAAAAGCCAATTTTCCTCAAATGGATTGGAAATTTTATCATACAATGTCCTCATGTCAAGTCAGTGTCTGTATGTCTGGCCTTTTTAATGATTTTTTTATTGAAAAATAAATGTCCCTATGTTGAATGGTTTCCATGTCAAGGTGTCCACATGTGAGGGTCTCACTGCATATGCATCTTGGGAGTGTTGTTCCAGGAAAATACTGTGCAACAGAAGAGCTTCATTATCTTAATTCCAAATTATGAATCAATTCTTTCCTGTTGAGTTGCTTGTGTTGCTGCGTTGGATCATCAGTTCTATCGACGTGCTATATGAAACGAATATGGAAAGAAAATAAAACACAATGAAGATAAAATTCGTGTAGCATGTTCCTGTTGTGTAATTAGATGCCGTCTTCTGCTACCAAGTTGCCTTTGTGTCCGCGTTTCCCATTGAAAAGGGGCAGGAATCTGTGGAAAAGAACCACTCCTCAAAGGAAAACCACCTCTCAAGGCAAACCATGCAACCTATAGTGAACAATGAAAACCAGAACCAATTTCCTCAATTCATCCATTCACCAAAGTAAAAAAAAACACTCACTTGTGATTGAGCTTTCTGAGTGAAAAGTGCATGCAAAATCTTATTTCCCAAAGAGTTCTGCTGAGTTGTTACAAGTGTGCTCTTAATAATTTTCTGTCAAAACCTTTAATTGTTGGGACAAATCAAAATACATTCTCAAATAACTTTTAATTAGAATTCCTAAAAGGGATTTCTGGCCTTGTCCCTGGCTGATTCTGAGTTTAATTTTGAATTCCAACTTTTTCTAATTTTTGACCCCCTTGCAATTTCTCAAATTCATGTTGTGTTAAATTACTCCACAGCAACCATGAAAGTCAAGTGCAGTGGCCCCCCGCCTAACAAACTCCCGGGGACCTGAGAAAAAATTTGTTAAATTGAGATTTAAAAAAATTCCTGCTCTGAAGTGATTGAATGTCTTTGAGTTGATTTGGGTTGGGTGGGGTCAGGGTTTGTAACAGACAAAATCCACCAAACAGACTTCTTTTGGTTTAAAATTAGTGTTGAAAATTAAAATTTTAAATTTTTATGTAATTGAATTCATGTAAAGGACTTTTTGTCTAACAGACTCATCCCTTGCACAAATCAAGTCCATTAGATGGGGGTTGAGTGTACTTTTAATATGCATGTGAAGTACTTCACAGGCTTTTGTGCAACTGATGGTGCATCAGAATGTAATGATACTGCAGTGAAGTGAACTTAATGATTATATTACTATACTCCTCAAGTTCCATAGAATTCCGTTGCAACAAATTTGTTTGTGGTCCTGGCAGTTTCCCATAGGCGTAATGTTCTACAGATCTTGTTGCAACAAAGTAATTTTTGGCTATAATCTCATTTTGACAAATGTTTGGGCATGATTCTGTGCATCATATAGCCACTATATTGCTTACTCAATAAATGGCAGAAATTTTAGAAAAAAAATTGGAAGATGTAGCATGAAAAATTCAAAAAAAAGGATCTTTCTGCATAAAAAACTTGGTGTACATAAAAAAGAACAACAGGATATATTTTTGGAAATTCTTTAGCTCATCCATTTTAGAATGTATGCCTTTTTTCAAATAAACAGTATGCTAGAAGTGTGTTCCTATATGTTTCAAAGCTAGCTATGAGTGAATGAATTGTTTGAGAAAGAAGTGCAGTATTTTTACCATATGTATAACTTTGTTTCATTTTATTTTTCAAGACAAGCAATACTTTGGTAAAAATGTTAGTTAATCTAAAGGAGATTTCTTTTCACATCAAAGGATTTCTCTTCATTTCATCAGAAGCAATCATTAATTATGCTAGGTCTTGAATTATTTGTTTTAGAAGCATTTTAAACTATGATATTTCCCATTTCCATTAAAATTCCATGGCCTGAAATAAGCTGATAATCATTAATCTCAATATATGAATGAATGAACAGAATGCTTTATTTTCTGCTTTTCAGGGTTCACAAGGTTCAATCAAGATTTCCACATCCAAACCCTGACCCCACCCAACCCAAATCAACTCAAAGACATTCAATCACTTCAGAGCAGGAATTTTTTTAAATCTCAATTTAACAAATTTTTTCTCAGGTCCCCGGGAGTTTGTTGTAACAAGATTTTACTGTATTTGTATAGTCCTGGATGTAGTGACAATGAGGAACAGATACCAACCGATGTGTGTCCTTCTTCTGTGTCATGTTGTGATCCAGTTCTCAATAGTACTTTACTGTCTTTACCTGCTCCATAAAGTGATTCAGGTGTTTTATGATCAGCATTTACAGTACTGTTCAGAAGTTTTCTACACTGAATTTTTGGTTCATATGCTTCTGTGTGCAGCACTGCAGTGTATACGTTGTGAACTGTTGCCTCACGGATGCAAATATGAAGTGCAAGTTTTATAAACGTGATTTTCATTGAAATACTGTTCTGTACATCAGAAATATCAAAAATTTCTTTCTTAGATTGAAAAAAATATTTTTTTCTGACAGCGGCGTAGGCTTCACTATATTATTTACGCAAAAGTCACCTGCCATTTATTTTTAGAACACCTCAATTTGTCAGCATCTATCGAACTGGGAAAAGCTATTTTACTTGTGATTCTAAGATGATGAATGTAGATGTCACTTGTCGCTCAACTGTGCATTCAAGTATAATTCTATGATTTATCTGCAAAGCTTGTGGTGAGTGAAAGACACGGTTTAAATTAAAATTGATCATGTAAACCCATTTAAAAATTTTTGTGTGGGAATGATGAATTTGTATGAAGTTCACCTGCTTATTTGATTTCATGTTAAATTAATTTACTTGAAAAGCAACTACTGTGCTACTATATTATTTATATATTGAGGGCAAAAATACTATGCGTGGAAGAATGTGTCCCAATTATTTTCAATCCATTGACCTATTTGACTTGTGATGATTTTTATTCTGTTTGGAATTTCTGGAAAGGATTCAGAACTGTTTACCAGTGCTGGTGGAAAGAGAAATCAGCGAAATATTAATATTTTGGATCAACTGCTTCTTTTTAATCGTCATGAATGTATTTACTGGACCTTAGGCAGCACATTTTTCTTGTGTTGAAATTATTTTACTGGCTCCTTGAATAGTATCAAAGCAAAGCTTCCTTTGAGTCAAGATTGTGATTAAGCTTTCTTCTTTTATTAAGCTTTTTGTCACAGCAATTGGCTTTGCAGTTGTTTGGAAAGTTGTCTCTAATATCAGGGTATAGTTTATGACAAAATTCAGGGGGCCAGAGAAAATCTTTATTGAGAACCCCTATATATAGACAGGGAAAGAACCTGGGACCTAAAAAAAAAACAGTGTGTAGAGAAAACTGATGTAGAAAGAATTTTCATGGAGATATAATAGTCTTCATGATGTGTTTTCATTTTTGTGCATCAATGGGTTTGAAAAAACAAATGCACAATTCTGATTAAGGCTTTAATGATTTTAGCTAACCAACCCAGCTGTCTTTTTAACTAGAACACTTTTGTGCATATAAATATAAAGTATACAGACGGATTTGATGCCAGCTGGACAGTGGCCAGAAATTTCATCATTCATGAGCTTCTTGACTTTGCAGAGTGACAGAAAGTTAAGCGTGGACTGAAACACAAATTTTGCAATACTGTAATGAAAATAACAAAACAGATTTCATAAAAAATACCAGTACAGTATCTCTAGAAAACTTCTGTACATAGCGTTTTTTTTTCAATATTATGTTTATTTTGTGTCACTATGATTAAACAGTACATCATTTCAATAAAATTGAATAATGT